GTGAACACGCTACCTTGTCGAAGTTATCTGAATGCTTGAAAAATAATCGTGATGTGCATATTTTCCAAAACACGGAATGTGAATGATGTGCGTGAACAAACTATCAATTAAAATCTTCTGTCACCTGTCACTGAACTATCACTTTTTATAAATTTAAGAGATGAAAAGAGAGCTGTTTTTATTTTATCCTTTTTTTTAAACAAAACACAAACCAACATGGGTTTCCTACCTTTTTTTTCAATGAGATTATATATGTGACCTGACCAGTTTACCTGAATCTGTTTCCCAGTCTCAGTTTTCATCCTACTGAAACTACATAACACACTAAAAATGTGACTTCAGTGATTTGATCTGGGAAAGCAACAATACAAACTCAGAGACTCCAGTTGCTTGTATGTGTTATGGGAAGTTGCGTCGCAATGAACGTGTTTAGGTTTCTTCACATTCAGCATGAGTTTTCAATTCAATTCAATTTTATTTTATTTATATAGCACCAAATCAAAACAGCAGTCACCTCAAGTCACTTTGTCAGGTAAAGCTCCTACAATAACTGAGAGAAAAGCCCAACAATCAAAGGACCCCCATGGGCAAGCACTTGGTGACAGTGGGAAGGAAAAACTCCCCTTTAAAAGGAAGAAAGCTCCAGCAGAACCAGGTTTTGCACTGGCCCATTTCAAAGATTTTACCATTTTCACCATCACCATCTCAGTTTAAACAAACCAGGTGTGAAGAGAAGTGGCAGGTCTGACTATAAACCACTTGCTTATTGGCTAATTGTTTGAGATTAACAAGTCATTAGCAGTGAAAATAATACAGATGTGGTCCTTTTTGAAACATAGCATGACTGAAATTTATACAATAGATACTTTTTTTTAGTATGACCGGAAATGAGTGACTGAGCCCACACTGTAAACTAAAAGTGTTTACAAAGGTCAAGTCAGAAAGTTGTTATTCCCGTAGGCTGTGTGTCGAAATGAAGGATAGTGTCCAGGCATCCACGAAAAAAGGATTTACCAGGGTGAGTGGGGGAAGGTGTTAGCAGTAAAGTAGCTTTGAAATCTAAAGATAAGAATAAAAACATTTAGCCAACCCACAAAGCTTTGGAGGTTATTGAAGTTCAGCTAGTTTGCTAGATCTTTTAGGTGAGAGATAAAGTCTTCTCAATAAAAGTGCATGTTCAGTGTTGTTCAGTGAGGTACACAATCTGAGTCCCCATTGGGTGATGTGATGGCATGCCACACATGGTAAGCTCCACACCTCATCACCCGTTGATTCACTTTAGTTTAATTTACAGTCACTACTTTAAAATATTCTATTTATTGTTCAATATCGTTTCTTTATTAAATGTATTCATTTTTCCATCACACCTTCCAATGTTTATATGGCGTGCACACATATTAACCTTGCAAGGTCAAAGTTCTGTTTTATGTTATATTAATATATCTTTCTTTGTTTGAGTTACCTGGGGGTTGGTGTCTCCTCCTGTCTGGCAAAAGGTGTGGCAAAGGGCTGGGAGACCTGAAGTACTGCTGACAGCCTAATTGGATTGCACCACATGCTTCATTGCCTGGGGAGTGTTTCATGTTTGTTTAAATGTTTTGTATTAGTTGGTTATATGGCAGCCATCTTGTTTTCCCCCGTGTGTGTCATTTGGTTTAGCTAAACCAGTATTTAAGTCCCCCTGTGTGTGTCATTTCAGCAGGTCAGTTTACCATATGTTTGTTTGAGGTTTTGTTAATTATTATCTTGAGTTTAGTCTGTTGAGTTGACCTCTTTTATTGGTCTGCCTGTTTAAGTTTTGGCTTTGTTAAATATATTTTCATATTTTTGGGTCAATAAAACCCGTTTTTTGAATTAAAACCACCGGTGTCCTTTATGCTTTACTGCTTGGTCCCTGACAGGTGACAAAAGAGATTAAACAAAAAAACAAAACATGGTCCTTTTCTAAAGCATTAAAATACTGCTGAGAGGCTCACAGCATCCTGGATACTCAGTGAAGCATGCCTTAGCTTGAAGGCCGGCTATGAATAAATAGTACTGATACAGTTACAAGTGTACAACTGAATAGTTTGCTAAGGCTCATCTCTATTCAAAGAACAAGGGCACACAGAAACGACAAGAGCCTTAGAAACAGCCATGTTGCCTTTACATTATCACTTAGCAAGTGAATTCAATTGTTACGTCTGGTTCGGTTTGGGTAAGACGGAAAAACAGCCGAGTCCGTGTAGGTGACAAACATAGTGATTTTATTGCACACTTCTAAGACAGAAGCATGGGAAGACAAGCGTACAGCCACAGATCTCCAAAGAGTGGACCGCTCCCCATCCTTATATAACCCATGATCCCATGATGACGTAACACAGTCAGACCTTACTGGAAATGATAACAGTTTTGGGCCTGTTCAGAGAGTTTACCTAATATGGACATCAACTGCTAGTTGTTAGAGAAAACAAGTGTGTATTACATTCGTGCCTTTTGTGAAAGTATATCTGTCAGAAAACTGTCCTCAGACAACCCTCCTATTCTTACTAAGGGTGTGTGTACACATTCATGTGTTGTATAAGAGCGTGCATGTACTTTCAAGGCCTGTGTACGTGCAGAACGGAACATGGAACCAAGGCAGGGTCCAGCAGGCCCCACAGGCTTCTGAGTAATTACAGAACTGTGAAACAGCTTTAAGCAAATAACATGAATAGTACAGAACAACAATAGACTGATTAGAGTACTGATAATCTGTGTAGATTAATGTTAACCTAGATATGGTTCAAAGATTATTCTGTCAACTGGTTCAACAATGGTAAATGATTAATGATTGATACTTCTGATTATAACTGTGATCATAAGAATACAAAATAAAATATCTCCTGGTCACACAATCCAGCTGCTTTTTGTTTTCTACATAAAAACACTGCAGCAGTGGCATTGAAAAATGTACACAGAAGATGGCTATTAGTGCGTTTTTCTTTTTTGGGAAGGAAAAAAGGTCATAAGCATAGCAGATGAATCCCATTTAAGATGTCAGCATCGTGTCCTCCATCCTTCGCAGTGTTATTTACCGCCTCATTATTATAAGGAGTAACTTAACACTCACAGGAATTCAGATTTTTACTCTAGTGGTTGAACTTCCCACCTTTATACAGCGATTTAGCTACAAGTGTTTTTCAAACACGATGATTCAGCGTTGCCAAAGAGGCCACTTCTTACTCTTGTCAGTGATGTTGGGTGTTATAACACCTTGCAGGCTACTCTGCGGAAATTTAGGTCAATTTTAAAGGATAAAGAAGTCAGCGTGACTGTTCTTAACTTTGCACTAAACGTGTTTTGCAATTTTACTTGTTTTGAATTCAATCTGTTATTGCATAAGAACTGTTTACGTGTTTGTAGCGCGCACATGTTGTTTGAAACAACTCATGGCCAGGCCACATTTAAAAAAGAGATTTCTAATCCTTTAATTAAACTTTTACTTAAATGAGACTGAATAAACTTTGTTACCAGAATGAAGAGATATCCAGTCTATATTTAACTTAGTTTAATATATTAAGATATGTGCAGTGGGGTTTTTCGAAGGCTGATGACATTCTTTAGATTTTTAGATTTGGTGTTTACAGTTTTCCCCATTTTGATAAATGGACTGCTATTTTTATAGCACCTCGGTATTCGGTTGAGCTCTCACAGCATTTTCTACTGAAAGTGTCATTCACCCATTCACATATCACTTTTATCTAACATCTAACATTTACACACACACACACACTCATGTGGATGAACTGGGGTTCAGCATCTTGCCCGAGGATACTTCTGCACAGAGACTGGAGAAGTCAGGGCCCAATCGATCGGTAGATGACCCAGTCTACCATGCTCTACCACCTGAGCCACAGCTGTTCAGGTGGTATTAAGCCGCTAAGAAAGACATAATGGCTCAGAAAGGATCAAAACCTTTCTGAAATCCTGTGAAAAGCTTTGATATTGTATTTCCACCAGTCATTCTAAGATTTTCTCTCAGCTAACACAGATCACAGTAGTCCGTTATCTTTAGAGCATATTAAATTACTTTTAATTAACCTTTTTGCCATGATTGTTGCTTTATTAGATAAAAGAAAATTCCACATCTAGTTGTCAAGCAGCCCAAAGCCATATTTTTCTGAGCACCACTTCCTTTTGCTTTCACTCTACTTAAAACAGTGGACCCAGTTTTTTAGCTGAATCTTCTCTTTACTCGTCAACACATTTCATGCTATGAGAAACACAGGGCCTTTAGATGTTTTTCAGGCCAAGGACAGAAAACATTACATTTGGCCAGTACCCTCAACCCAGAGCATCCTTTCTGAAATTAGCAATTAAAATGAAAGTAAATTTGAACTTCATCCACTCTGTGGAATTGTCTCAACGTTCCTACGGGTCCCAGTTCTCCCTGTGACACCCATGTATTATGTATAAGCATATGCACGATGAATAAGTCAAGAGATAAATGACGAAAATTACATTTCTTTTCCGCCCCCCATTTCTGTTTTTGGCATGACCCGGTTGTTAGTGCATCCTTTATCACGGCAGAGGAGCAAGTAAACTGCAGAGACCAGCAGAAAGTGAGATGGAAAAAGTGAGAGAAGAGCAGAGAGAGCAAGAGAGGAGGGAGGACAGTTGAATCCATCTCTCAGTACTATCCCTCCCTCTGGGCATTTCCCGGCTGGCACACGATATGTGGAGGCTGCAGTATTTTAAATCTCTACTATACTAATACCAATGAACCATGAGCACATTGTCTTTTATTTATTATTTGTGTGTGTGTGTGTGTGTGTGTGTGTGTGTGTGTGTGTGTGTGTGTGTGTGTGTGTGCATGCGTGCGTGTGCAAGCATGTGTGCCGGAAACCCTAGAGCTACAGAGGCTAAAGACAAGATTGCAAGCGTGCACCAACTCATTTGCGTATATGTGTGGGTGTATGTTTGCTAATGTTTGTTCCTCTCTTTCTGCGCGCTCGCCTATGTGTTTGTGTGTGACTCACCGCTCTCCTCACCAGATGCTTCACAGCCATCTTCATCATCACAGTCGTCTCCGCTGCCTCCCTCCGTGTGGGCGCTCCCTCCCTCCTCTTCCTCAACCCTTCCTCTCACTTTGCTCGCCCAGCCCAGCTCCACTAATAGCTCCTAAATGAAGCGCACACACACATATGTCCACAGATATTACACATACATTTGCAAGACACTTGGATTGATTCAAATTTTGTTCTGTATTGTGACAAGATTTTGTTCTGATTTTATTTGATAACCTTACTGGTAGAAAAACATTTTTTATGTCTTTCAAACTATGTTGTCTTTTTTCATAACTTAAGCTAAAGAAATTGGAACAAATTATGTGTTTTGTGACAGGCTGCTAGTAACAAAGTACCTAATGATACAAGAAAGTCTTTGAAAAACCTTCCTTGGAAGCAAAGTCTGAAGAATTGAGGGGTAGCAGTTTGTAATGTATACTATAATCGAGAATAATCCAATTTTCAGGGGGTCACATGGAAGGCAGTGACTGATTTTTATAATGGAATGACATGTATGTATAAACACACATCGAAAGAAAGACTAGAAAACAAGGAACATGTAGACAAAAACACAGGTCAAAGTACACATGAAAACTTTATTCAAGTCATGGTATGACAACAAGAATCCCACTCTCCACTGCTTATTTAGATCAGTGCCGATGCCGTGGCATAATTGTGATGCCAGATAAAAGCTTCATGCCTCTATTCATGTCTTCACGCCTGCTATTTGATTACTTTTTAAATACAATACTGGATTTAGCTTCAGTGGTGGTAAGATCTATCTGCTTTGGTCTTAAAATTTGTCCCACGAACACATTTTAAGACCAGAGGAGATAGATCTTTTAGAGCAGTGGCCCACAGGTTGTGGAATGCTTTGCCTCCATCATTATGTTGCCTTGATTGCATTTATTCTTTTAAACAGGAGCTTAAGACTCATTTATTTAGACTGGCTTTTACCTAGATTTGTGCTGTATGCTTGATTGTGCTGTTTTATGTATATCTGTTTTATATTATTGTGAAGCATTTGGGGTTGTTACCCTGTAAAGAGTGCTATATGAATAAAGTAAAGTAAAGTAAAATATGATTACCAGATTTATAAATAACAGTTCACATTTTGTTAAAACAAAGGAAAAAATAAAACATACAAGTCATCAAATTGAAAGTCATACGGTTTTCACCCATACACTATGACAGGATCATGTAATTGGTTCATAGTTTGATAAATGAGTACTGTAAAGAGCCAAGGTGGGTCATATAGATGGGGTCCAGCTAAGGACAGAGACAAGGCAAACATACAGCATTTTTATCAAGGAAAAAGACATAAGAAGACATTAAATATATATGTATATATGGTACCATGGTGAAAAATAAAATGTCAGTAAAATATATCTTTTTTCCTTTGCCTTATTTCTGTCCTTAGCTGGAACTGATTAGGTAGCATGGTGGTCCTGGCTTTGAGACCTTTACTTGATTTGGTTCCCTGACCAACTGTTCCAAAGCCAGCAGTGTTGTAGTGTTGCCACTACAATATCCAATATAAAGCTGCTGGCCAACCAACTAGACATTGTGGTGGTTGACAAGGAACAGAAGACCACAGTTGTGATATATATTGCAATCTCAGCAGACAGCTACATCAGGAAGAAGGAGCACAAGAAAACAGAGAAGTACAAGGGGCCAAAACTAAAATTGTGGCTCCAGCAGATTGCAGGCACAACATCAGCAGAATTGGTCCAGAAGAGCACAGTCCAAGCACCAGCTAAGATACTGTGCAGAACCTCTGGTAGAGCACTCAAGCTTCAGGATCATATCCATACCACACCTCCAAGCGGTGAAGAGGAGAGAGTTCATCATGTTACCAGTGGTTTCTATGGTTGTTAAAAGTAAAATGAGAAGAAAAGTCTTCAGCTTTCAGGCCCCTCTCCAAACTGGAACCAGCTCCCAGTTAGGATTTGAGGCAGACCCTCCCCTTACTTTTAAGATTAGCCTTAAAACCTTCAGTTAAGGCTGGATCAGGTGACCTCCCTTAGTTACACATCAATAGGCCTATACTGCTGGGGGCTTCACATGGTGCATTAACTATTTCTTCTTCACTCACCTTTTTTTTTTACTCACTATGTGTTTATATTCAAATTTGCATCTAATCTGTTATTAAATAATTCAGTTATTATTTATTTCTGTCTGTCTTCCACAGTGTGCCTTTTATCCTGTCTCCCTCACCACCAGCCAATCACAACACAAGTCTGTTTTTCCTTCCCACTGTCACCAAGTGCTTGCTAACAGGGGGTTCTTTGATTGTTGCTGTTTTCTTTGTATTATTGTAGAGTCTTTACGCTGCAATATAAAGCTCCTTGAGGCGACTGTTGTTGCTATCGGGTGCTATTAAAAAAGAATTACGTTGAATGATTTATATTATTGTACTACATTGAAAACTGTCTGAACAACTAAATGGACAGTCAGTTGTCTGAAATTTTATGATAATTTTAAATTTGCTATCCTGCAGAGTGAGAGCTGTAACTGATTTTCCCTGTCTCAGCTGCTTGTTTATACACAGACAAAATCTGTCTGACTCTCTCGTATTTAAAGATGACTTAACTCTGCCTACCAAATATAATCCCTTTAGCACATAAGCATAAGGTGTCTGTTTTGATTCACAAGGGGAAGATATTAAGTAGGCAAACAGCATTGTGGGGTGGCTGTGGCTCAGGTGGTAGAGCAAATCATCTACTGATTGGAAGGTTGGTGGTTCGATCCTTGGCTTCCCCAGGCTGCACACCAAATATCCTTGGGCAAGATACTAATGCCAAGGTTGCTCTCTGATGTGTTTATTGGAGTGTGAATGTTTATTAGTTTGCACTTGTGTTTAGAAGTACTTGTGTGAATGGGTGAATGCAGCATGTTGTATACAGCGCCTTGAGTACTCCGGGAGAGTAGAAACGCACTATATAAGTATAACAATGAAAACAGTGCACCTATCCTTGTGTATGGATCAAGGAAACATGTTTAAAATAAGCAGGCATCATCGATCACTTTATTTGATTAACAAGCAAGGGTGCCTGTTAGTCCTTGTGGAGTTTCCTTGTGGGGCAGAAGAATGTGGGATGCAAACGGAGGGACATCTGGCCTCCACCATAGAGTAGGCGTGTAGCAGCCACGGAACCAAGGGGAAGCAAGGTTATTATATGACAGCATGTCCGAGGGGACACAGAAACAGACTAGGCTCTGTACGGTGATTCACCATCATGTCACTGGACTGCAAATGAGTGCTGAGGGAGGACAAAAATACATTACAGCACTGTTTCCACCAGGACTGTTTTCTTAGTCATGTGGAAAGTCTGAAATTTAAACAGGATTTGGGCCATGTGGCACTGAAACTCCTCTGTGAAACCAACAGAGCCAACAAATAAAATTATTCAAGTGTGGTAACTCCAGAACGGTCTGTCCAGTGTAATTAATGACTGGAGACAAACTTAAACTGGTAGTGGCTGAGGTGATGAACTTTTGTATACTGTAAAAATAGAAATATTTTTTGCTTTGTTCTCAATAATACATCAGATTTTAATAATGATGGATAATAAGACACTGCCTTTATAAAATGTTTAAACAATTATACATGTTCAACTGCTCGTTAATGCAAATATGTAATCAGCCAAACTCAAATAATTTAGGCATGTCAACATGGTCAAGATGGCCTGCTGAGTTCAAAGTGAGTAAGGAAGATGGGTAATTTAAGTGACTTTAAAGGTGGCATCGTTGTTAGTGCCAGGCTGTGTGGAGTTTTTCAGAAACTGTTGATTTGCTGGGATTAAAATGGTCTTAAAAAAGAGAAAATATCCAGTGAGCAGCAGTTCTCTGGGAGAAAATGGCTCGTTGATGCCAGAGGTCAGAGGAGAATGGGCAGACTCCTTTGAACTGAAGGCAACAGTAAAGCAAATGACCACTCATTACAACCAAGGTATGCAGAAGAGCAGCTCTCAGTGCACAACATGTCAAACCTTGAAACAGAACAGCAGCAGCAGACACTCCTGTCAGCTAAATACAGGAAAGTGAAACTACGATTTACAAGACTGTTGCGTTGAGACACAAAGTCTAGTCTCCACAATAAAATTGGTATAATTTAAAGCTCTTACTGGGTGTAAATGATCCTATCACATGGCAATGATATACAAAAAATCCTTGGGACCAGTGACAGATAAAGAAGACACCCAACCGGAAAACGCATAAAGAAAGACAGACCTTCAAAACCCGGTCGGAGAAATGATTAAAATTCCAGGGACGCTTCTGTGTCCTGTCTCATATTTTCCCTCTGCTTTCACCCTTGTGGTCAGAGCGTGTAAATGGCACACATGACAGGCATGAATAATAATTAATAAATGGTATGCATTAACGGCTGTGCCTCAGATGAATGGCTTCACCCACAGAGAAGCCACCGGAGCACCTAGTTTCAAAGAAACAAAGCCCAGGATGTGGGTTTGCCAAGGCGACTCTCAACAGGTTCAAATTACACTTAGTTTGTTTGTATGTGTGCAGAGGCTTGCATCCTGCAATTAATCAGAAAGATGGAAAGACCACACCACACCTCAGAATGGAAAATATCAGACCTTTCCCTTTGGTTCATGTCGTGACCTGTATAGCATTACTACGATCGATCCAGAGGCCGCGTATCCAAACACATTGATCTAACCGCGTGTTCGTCTGAATTACATCTGAAGATCGGCAAAAAGCTCGAATAGTCTTTAAATCACAGATGACCAAGAGTATACAAGTTAGACTGAATTAATGAGCGTAAGAAGGAACTCGCATCCATAAATGAATACATGGTGCATGTGTAGTGCATGTTTGTGTACGTGTGTGTGGGGGGAGTACGGGGCGGTGCTGACTTGGCATTTTCTCCATGTAAATGCAGCATGATTAATGGAGTCACCAGTGAAATTAGACAAAGCACAGAACAGCAGAACAGCAAAAAAAAGGAAAGAAAAGAAAACTAGGCCTTAGCATGTCCCATCCGATTAATTTTCCTTTACCCTCACCAACATTACATAAACCAGAGGTTAACAGGCTTTCTTTAAAAGGAGTGGCTGTTGCTAGGAAGACATAACTTCTGTTTTTATGACAGTTCTAGGGGGTACTGTTTAGTTTCTGTAATATATTTTATACATGTGTGTTGCCGACAGGATAGTTCTTTTCAATAGCCTCCACACCCATCTAAAAACACAAACAAACTTCATAATCTCTGTGGTCCACATGTGCTGTCTGTAAACACCTACAAGAAGAAGTAACTGTGTAAAACTGGGGCCATATTTAACTTGAGCAGCCACCACTGGATAACCAGCTTCCTTTAAAAATGATTAAAAACAAATCAGTGGGCCACACTGCTGGGCGGGGTGACATCTCCAGTCATTACTGTTTACCAGTGATGTGTGGATTGTAGAGGGGAGGACACTGCAGGGAAGTGCAGACTGAATACTAAACAAAATGTGAGCCTTTATTGTGACTGAGCAAAGAAAAATACAAATAGGCCAATAGAAATTGTAATCCAAAGAACATGAAGTCCAATCAGGTCTAAAGAGCATGAATGTGCACAGGTGAGCACAGAAGGCTAATTTAGGGTTAGAGAGCGGAGAGGAAATGAGACACGGGTACAGATTATCAACACAGGCAAAGCAGGAAGTAAAGCGAACTATTCATGAAGGAAAACCAACACTCAAAGGAAAATAGGAAATGAGTGAGAGACCTAATACTAACACTTAGCACGATGTCAAGCTAGTGAACAAAGGGTGATGATGACATCAACAGAGAAATGAGAGAGAAGGAGGAACAAACAGGGTGGCAGCAGGGGAACTAAAAACTGGCATTAAGAAAACTCAAGAGTTAAACCCAAGCGCAGGATTGCAAAACTCAGATTCAACTAGACTAAACAATAAAGTTGAACAAACACCATAAAAGTTCTTGACTAAGAATTTCAAACAACGTGACGCCTCTGAGGACGGATACTGTTTATTTTGACTCCAAATTGTTGCTGCTGGACAAAACTCAGCACTAAAAATAGATTTACCAATTTAAAAGAAATCAGCTGTTTCCACCTGTCTGAGTAACATTTACTAAGTTTAAAAAAACCCTAAACTTACAGTTTCGTTATATTACATAGCCCTGTTTTTATTTTACTTTATTAAAGTGCGTGTGTATCCTTTTTTAGATTTACTCGAGATCTAAAGAACAAAAGATTAGGTTGTTATACAGTTCTTGCTTCTACTTCTTTCTTCCTGTTAAAAGCGAGTTTTTCCTTCCCACTGTACCAGGATCTTGCTCATAAAGGGTTTTCTGATTGTTTGTTTTTTCCTCTACTATTGCAGGGTTTCTAACTTACATTATAAAGCACAGTGAGGTGACTATTTGGCGCTATATGAATAAAACTGATTTGAATTGATGAGTGAATGACCAGCAAACCAAATTATGTTGCCAGTATGAGTTGTATGATGTATCAGGCTGTCTCCCTCAATCCAGAAGGGTCCAAAGCCACATCGTCCACACATATAATAATGAATCGTGATAATGAATACATTTCATATATCATTCTACGGAATCGTATGATTTTATGAATCATTCACACAAATCATATCTCCATATTACCTTACTGAGTACAGCCTTGAAAGTCCTGCATAAATTCCAGTTTAATTGTTGAATTAATTAATTTATTATTGAGTGTTATTATCTACCTGTGTTTCAAGTGCTGACATTTAACTTTATTGGATTAAGCAGCACTTCACACAGGAGGTGGTAGCGCATAATTGAAGGCCAGATGAACTTAAGGACGCCCCTCCAACCCCGCAACACACACACAAACACAGACACACACATATAAAAAAAAATGGAGCCATCATCATCATCACTCCCGCAGAATGGCAACCATAGGGTGTCACTGCCAAGGTTAGCGCAGGGTATATTAATGTTCAGTAGATGTGAAATCATCCAAGAAAACAAGAAAACCACTCATAAGCAAATACTTTCATACTTCAAAAAATCCTTTTGAAGTATGAAAGTTTGTTTCATCATAGTGTCCTTAAAAGATGAAGGAAAGCCCCCAAATCTAAGGTTTCTTCTTCTCTCGATTGCATATTTCAGAGTGAATATTGATTGCACCACTAGAAGAAAGGCCACCAACTCATAATATATCAACATTGGGACTATAGCTTATTCTATAATTACAAGACGGTTTGGACAACAGTTGTTGTTAGGGTGGGAAAAATCTCAGTATCATCCATCTTAACATAAGAATTTGGGTAACACTTTATAAGACAGCCTTTGTTGGGAGTAACAAACTGGGAGAACACTGGGTTGAGCATTTACCTGTGTTAGCTGTTCCAGCCTCTGTTTTGCGCCCTTCAGGACAGGATCCGTATTGCGCACAGTCAGCTCGGGATTCTCCCTCTGGGCTTTTAAAGTGTTGCCAACCACACGACCTGCATAACTACAGAAAGGCAGAACATGAGAAAGATATGCAGTACTTCCTGTCCCAGTTTGTCTCTGTGTGAGTGTTGTTCTCCTGTCCCAGTTCTCTCCATTCACTATACTCGTGTGTTTAGTCAGAGTGCACTGGATTCATAGACACACATGCACACGGTCATATTTCCATTACTTCAGAGGATATTACATTTACTCACGCTGGTTTTGTCGAGTCTTATCCTGACCCCTCCATAATCACTACTTGCCCATAATCCAGATCTAACCCTAGCCTTAACATTAAACCAAGTTTTGAACTTATATGTTAATAATCTGTCTTTTGCACCTCTGACAGTAAGCAGCTACCAACAACAGTAAAGACAAGAAGTATTACAAGTACACAGACACATACATACCCTTTGCAAAAAGAAAAGTCACCATTTACTCCACAGTAATGGACTAACTTGTGATATGAGCTCATCTTTATGCAGATTAATCTTATTTCTTTACTTTTTTTCCCAGGGATATTTCATTGAAAACAGATGGACTGCTTACAGTAATTGCTATTAGTGGTTTTCAGCAAGGTTGTAAAATGATTCATCTTTAGAAATCACATTTTCCCACACACAGGAAACTGAAATTCAATTTACAAAGATGTTTTTTGTATAATTTAATATACGTTTAAGATATTTTAGTTCTTTGATAATTGTGTCTGTATATATATCTATATATCTATATAGATATATATATAGATATATATATGCATCATACATTTACATATCAATATATTACAGAGGTACCCACTATAGACGCGCTGAATTAGGACACAAGAATCAAGTGTTAAAATCATTTGAAAGGATATTACTTTACTTTAGAGCTGAGTAACTCTGCATGTTTTTAAATGATGCTATCAAAGTAAATTTAGTATTACAATTTATTCCATGCAACGAGTGCCATCTTTGATCATCTAGCATACTGATAGCTTTTTTCAATAACAGGCTGTAAGCAAGGATCACATCATTTTGTCTGGTGGGTGGATCAAAACGAAGATGAAGTGGGAGAAGAGCAAAAAAGAAGAAACAAAAGTTCATGAGTCACATTTTTCCATGTTCCAAACCAGCTTTGCTAGCTAATACAATCAACCACCAACTCAGTAACCACCGAGTCCACACCCTCAAAAGCACAAACACACTCTGGCAATGGCAACGAGGGAACAGGATTGTGGGAACCAAGGAGCAGAGACATGGTGGATGAATCTGAATTGATTTGAGTGATGCCAAGAGATGGTGCGGTGGTGAAGACCTCTTCTTCTGGAGCCATGCTTACTCTGCTGGTCTGGGATAAAATCCCATGTGAAACTTAACACAGTGTGGCCTTTAATTAAGTTTCTCAGATTGTTGTTGTGATCTCACACAGATCAAGTTTTGATGCTCGTAAGTGTTCATGTCCTGAGGCCTTACTAAGTGAGTTCTAAATCTGTGCCTGGATTCATTACACCTGACTTGAACTAGCTACAGTAACTGATGTCACAAAAATGCTTATCAACTGTCCCTGTGAGAGAAGACGTTCCAAACCATCTTCATGCAAGTTCACATTAAATAGGCAGCCAAACACATATCACATCAAAAGATCAAACTGCATGCTTTGCTAATAAAGCGTGAGACTACAGATCCCCACGGGAAAATCAGGTCAACGGAGAGGCAAACTTCCTGTGAAGTAGGGGAAAAGAATACAGCATCAATAGAAACCGAAGCAAAGAGAATTAATTAAATATTATACTGCTGATGTTTTCATTAGCTTTAAACTGGTATGGTTAAAAAATATTAAGATAAGATAAGATAACCTTTATTAGTCCCACACGTGGGAAATTTGTTTTGTCACAGCAGGAAGTGGACAGTGCAAAAGTTATGACGCAAAAATTAGAATACAATAAGAATAAATACAGTACACAGCTGTACAGAATAGAATAAAATAATATACTATATACAGTAGAATAAAATAGAATAAAAATATACAATAAGATAAAAATAGAATACGAATGCTATATACAACTGAGTAAAAATACAACGATGCCAGAAAAGATTATTGCACTTAGTGTTATTGCACATGTGTGGATGTGTGTGTTTGTTCAGTTAAAGTCTTTGTTGTGGAGTCTGACAGCAGTGGGGAGGAAAGACCTGCGAAATCTCTCCGTCCCACACCGTGGGTGCCGCAGTCTCCCACTGAAGGAGCTGCTCAGTGCTGTCACAGTCTGCTGCATGGGGTGGGAGACGTTGTCCAACAGGGATGACAGCTTAGCCGCCGTTCTCCTGTCACTCACCACCTCCACTGGGTCCAGAGGGCATCCTAGAACAGAGCTATTACAGGTTTTGCTTTTATGTTTCATAGGATGCATTATAAAAGTGTCAGGGGAAAAACAGCACTGTAAAAGCAAGCAGAGTTGCTACAGGAAAAGAAAAATGTGCAGCATTTAGTAAACATACTGGAGGGACTTATTTTTTCATGTGCGACTCTTATTAACTGCTTCATGGCTCTGCACTTGTAAACTTTCTATATTATTGAGTCTTTCATATCTCATGCTTATGTGTTGTTAAATGTGTTGCACTAAAATAATCGCTGATGAAAATATTGCAACAGAATCTTAGCTGACTGGCTTGAAGCTGTTTGTGCATGACTACTGCTGCAATGAAGGTACAGCATGTTAAATGTCACCACTAGATGTCAGTAGATTGCAGTTCTGTTTTCTGTCAGTCCGCTGTTTACCTCAGCTGTCAATATGTGCCCATGTCTATTTACTCTGGAGGTAGCTGTAAAACTTTGCATAAAGAGTCAGATACGAGTTACTAATTTGAGCTGCTGAGGACATCCTGAACTTTTAAGTCAGTTATCAGTGTTGTTTTTGCTACTGTTAGCTGCTAGCAGGTGTTAGGGAAACTTTCTGTGAATTGCATCTAATGTTATTCAAACACTTAGTGAATAAAGTCTGATAAAATGCAAGACAATCAAACTGTTTATCAGATGAAACAAACACTCGAGTCTAACATTAGCTAGCATAGTGTTAGCTAACCAGTCACTGCTTTCATTTAGCTGGCTTGTTGTTAGCCGTCTGGAAGCGGAGGGTCGCATATCTAATCTGCAACAATACTGGGAATAAATGAGCATGTTTATGCAAACTTCATATTTTAGAGCTCTGACCTCAGTTCAGGAGTTGAGGCTTGAGGTGAGAAGGAAGAGGATGAGATTATATTCAAATGCCAGTCATGTTGTTGCTTTCTTCTGTGTTTTCATTTCTTTAGTGAAAAGGAACCTATAATCAGATGGCAAAATATAGCTATGATGCTTCATATCTCCAGTCTGAAAGTGCAGGCACAAATTAAAATTTGCCTCCACGACGTACAAACACCCCTTCTCTTCTGCTATGTACGCTGCTCTCTAGCCACATAAATAAAATGCCATTAGGCACAACGATGTTGTCAATCTTGACCACTGTGTTTAAGATACAAAGGAAACATACAGTAAACATGGCAGCTTCTGCAAATTGGTGCCTACTCCTGTGTAATTTGAGAATGTATCTGTTTCTTGGAACAATTAATTAATTAATTATAATAAATGAGTGCAATATTATTTTTGTCAACAAAATAAACTCAAACTCAACTGACTGTACCTTTAACGAAAAATGTTCCCAAATCCGATGATCTCTGCAGGATAAAACAAAATGGTCAAGCTTTATAAATGAAGACAGTTTGGGTTATACTTAAATTAGGTGGCTTATCCATTAATCTCATCACATGATACGGACCATATCTTTTTCTGTATTGCTACATAAACAAAAGAAACATTTCAAACACCGTCACCATGGGAACTGGGAACATTGATTGCCAATGAACAACAAGAGATCATAAGATGCATGCTGCCTAATCCTCTGTACATTCAAAGCATTTGATTCTGTAGTTTTTTAGCTGCATGACTGGTATGAGAGTGTGTTGCTAACACAAGCAGGATATGAGAGCACATGTACTGTGCCCACAACAGAATGAAGTAATAAAAACAAGATAATGGACTACATGTAATATGAACAGGATATTGACGTACATCTACATGAAGATGTGTAATAAAAGGCAACAAAATCAAAGGCAGCAAAAACAGCATGAAAGAGCAAGAAGCGAAGGGCAATAATGAAAAAGGGTGATGAACAAGAAAGCAAAACGAGAAATAAAAGCTCAATTAAAAACCACAGACCTTCCCTTAAGGGGAAAATCCCAAGATTCCACAGACTCCAGCAAAGAGTTTAGGGATCAGTGTCAACAGCGCACATCCAGTGAATTTGTTAGTGTCAACACCTCACACATACTGCTGGCATATTTCATGTTTCCTTTTATCTTGATCTAAGCTGGGAACATACCTGACATCATTTGAAACAATGCAGCCAAGACTGACAGACAGCTGATTTGACCTTTATATATACAAGGCTGACTGAATCTATACTTTCTTTTACCGCCACGAAAAACAAGTAAATTAATATAAATGGAACAAGCACAAAAGGACCAAGCAGGCGTGGATATGAACATTATTAGGTATCAATGCACGAGTACACTAACTATAAGACAGGCGTTTCCTCCAGGGGATAAAAAGATTTACATGTCTGTAAATTGTATCCAGATAATGAACAACAGTACTTTTCCTCCAAGTCACAGAAGAAGTGTTTCGGTGTAGACAGACATACTTTTGTTGCAGACGAGTGTTTCTATTGGATATTTAAATGTAAATTTCTCAGAGAGTCAGATATTAGAGGTTTTACATTCTGTGACCTTCTCCATATTAATATGCAAATAAATGTAATATATCTCTATGTGGACACTGAGACCGTGATGGATTTTGCCGTGTTTATATGCATAGCTTTTAGTAAAATTACTACAGCCTGCAAAAAGCACAAACACACAAAAATATGCTCTCACTGACCACTTTATTAGGTACACCTGTTCAACTGCTAGTTAACACAAACGTTCAGTGTATTTAGACATATAAACA